TGCTTGCTAGGCGTTTGGGGCGTGGGAGTTCCCACAACCCCTGCGCGCAAGCGCTACGCCAACGTCCTGTGTCTTTGCAGTCGGTGTGACACTTAAGAGGAGCAGCACTGGCGGCGAGGTACGTACTATGTCACATACACAACCTGTAACAGCCACATGCTCCTGATCTCTCTCTCTCTCTCTCTACCAGGGGATCTCTCTCTCTCTCTCGCGCGCCGTCTCTCCTCCCTCCCCCAAATTTGGAGCCCGACCCTGAGCCGGCTACCAGCGACAGACCCAGCCTCCAGTGACGGGCCCCGAATCTGGGCGCACAGAGGAGATCCCCAGCCGTGGCAGAAGCCGCACAGGAAATGCCTCAGCTGGCACAATCGCCTTCGGTTTGGAAGGCGCGGTTTAGGACATGTCACGAGCCGTCTTCTGGTCACCTGGTTCTAAACCCCACACTCTACACCCCGAACCCTATAAACTGCCCTATACACCCAAGTCCCAAGTCCCACTGCTTCATTGTTGGCCGCGGTGCGTCAGAGCCCAGGGCCGTGGGCTGAGTGTCCAAGAGTCTCGGAGACCACACGGAGGCCAGGAGGAAACCTCCGAGAGGCCGCTCCTGACGAGAGAAAAAACCGGCCTTTTTTGGGTTTAGGGTTGGGGCTTCATGTGTTCAGGGTTTAAAGCTCCTTTAAGGGCTCCGGGTGCCGGGTCTCCAAAAGCTTAGCTTGCACCGGAACGTTGAGGGGTTGAAGCAGGCGGAAAATGAGGGCTTCTTTGAAGGTTTGGAAGTGTTTGTTGGTTTGTGAAGGAAGCTGGCCTCCACCACGCGGGGAGCCGACAGCTGCGCCACGCATTCGAAGTAGGCAATGCCGGCCTCTGAATTGACTTGGGCTGTTGGCATTTTAATTTTGGTTGAGGGATCAGGCTACATGCTATCGCGGCTTTACGGTATAACTGGTATAACGTTTAGGGCTCAGGAGACGGGATTTGGTGGGGTGTCGGGTTTAGCTTGAGGTTTACACTTGTGTGGTGGCAACACAGTCATCATAGCGGGATCGAAAGCTCGTGAAGCCTGGGCTGCTACTGTACTGCAGGGGCCTTGACGATTAGAATAGGGTTTTGAAGTTTAACACGATGTAAGTATAATAAGGAACCATACGGAATTGTATTGATAATTGTTGAGGCCTCTATATTATATATTAGGGTTTGAAGTGGTCTGGGCTTTTGGTTTCATGGAGGTGTTTGAAACTACAAGATACCTCCCAGTGTATAGCTGCACAGCTATTCTACGCTGGTGCTCCTCCTCTGGATCCTTTTGCAGGAAACTGATCCTCCTGTGGGTTATGACATCAATGAGAAGCCCAGTACCACCCTTCTCCTGAGAGCCCCCCCCACCACCACCTCTCCCCGCACACCTCCATGAAACTGGGAACTTGATATTTTCAGCAGACTCTAACTTAATCATGCGCCTCGAAGATGAGCTGACTCTGTTGTGCCTCCAGGCGCACCTGAACACGTGCTTGAAGGTTCATGGTATACGCAGTTTACAAGCATCATGATGAATACCTCACGGAAATATAACTACACTACGTCATCTTCCAGACATCTTTTTTGCAGGGCTCAAGAATCTGGTTCATAGGCCAACCAGCAGCATCCCGACAAAAAGCATCAGCCTCGAAGACGACTCTTCAGCTCAAACTTATGACCGTGTTGTGACGCCGCAGTGATCTTCTGATCAAACGTCATGGATTTGGGGTGTCGGGTTAGGGAAAAGTATGACTGCATTGCAGCCACTGCACCAGGAGCAAGACTGGGACTCAAACACGCCGAGCGCACCGACGACTTCTTAGCAATCCTACACAGCGGTCAATATTGAAAAGCTGTCCGTAGAGTTCAACCTTGCTAAAATGTTTTCCCATGCCCGATCCTCCAATAAGCAGAAAAATCCCAACAATAACAACAATCGCCGGAACAAAAAATCACCAATAATGACAATAATGGCAACAATAACAGCAATTACAACAATACCAACATTGACAATAACCATAGTACTTCAATAGTATGGTGACGACGATGATGAGGATGATGAGGATGATGATGATGATGATGGTGATGAGGATGAGGAAGAGGATAAGGATCATTATTACGATAGTGACCATGATTACGATTACGATTTCTGCTCGTATGACAACAACAGTAATAGCAGCGACACCAACAACGACGACGGCATTACTGATACGGATACTAGTACTTGTGCTGATTCAGTATTGATACTGATGCTGATACTCACACTAACTTCAAGACCCTCCCGCGAGCCTGCTCCTGGCTTGGTGGCTGTACCGATGCCTGCATCAGCTGTTTGCTGGGTTCCCGGAGTTGAGGATTTAGGTGGAGTTTTTGGGATTACCAACTAGTTTCTACTAAGTCCTGAGAGGGGGCAGCCATCCTAAACCGGCCACGACTCAGGGCGCTGGCCTCGTAAGACATATTGTCCGGCGACCAAGGAACCATGTCGTCGGTGTCATTGAAATCTGGCCACAGGCATTGGAATGGAGGCATAAGGCTTTGGGCCCAATTCCTCTCCTCTATCCCCCCATCCCTGGCTTCAGGCGCTTTTAGGACATTGGGGGAAACGCTTGCTCTTTGATGTGTGGTAACCCCCCTCCGGTTCTGTGTTCTGAGCGCACAGGGCTTCTGCAAAGCCTGCAGCCGCTCAGAAAGCTCCCTACATCTGAGGTAACCGTAGATACAAGTCAACGCGCGCGCGGAGCGCAGAAGCAATCGGCCCAAAGTTCATGAAGCCACGGGAAGACTGAATGTAACTGAACCCCATGCTTGACTCGACAAGGGCTGTCCCCAGGTCCACTTCCAACCGAAAAGTGTGTCAGAGTCTTGAGGATTGCCTAGAGATCCCCTGCCCTCCATTGTTCCGGAGCGACGTGCTGTCTTTTGTTATTCTCTGCAGGCTACTACAAAACCACGGGTCCCTGGTTGGGGGGGTATGTCTCCCACGGGCATGTCCGAAACAACTCTGTTCCCAAACCAGTGATCCCGATCCGCGCAGCCTTGCTCCCTGTACCAAGTCTCCAGACTTCCATTCGAGAAGGTGAGGTTCTCCTCCTGTTGCAGTCACTATGGCGATAGGCCCAACCCTAGGTTGAGACGCGAAAGTTCTTTGCTGAGGCTTTGTGCAGCCATGTAGATCCACAGTCCTGGAATCTTTGTGAGAAATCCTAAGCCCTAAACGGGCCCCTAAACCCCAAAACTCTAACTTGAACGCCGGGATCTCTAAGTCTCCTCACAATCTTCTGGGCATCCCGGAAAAGAGCTGCCAACCCGCGCACTGAGCTGCTCCACCTGCACACTGGATTCTCGGATACCATTTGGGAAGTTCTCTAAATTAGGATCCCTTTTAGGGTCATTTTTTATAAGGATGCCGTAAGAAAAGGGACCCTAATGTAGAGAACTACCCATTTGGGCCTTCATGGCTAGAACAGGGTTTTGGGATCCAATGTGCTGAAGTTACACTTGGGACGATAATGGTCGTACTACTCGCAATTCTTCCGAGCCCTAAACCCCAAACCCCTACACCCTAAACCCTAAACCCGTAACCCCTAAACCCTAAACCCCTAAACCCCTAAACCCCCAAACCCTAAACCTACGCCTTCGGTAATGATTTGAAGCTTAGGAGTTTGGAGTGCTAGGCCCCAGCTAAGGTGGCTCCTCAGCTTATGCTTCAACAAACAGATGGATCACAGCCCTCCAGAGTTCAGTGTATAATATTCTAGTAACTAGTATCTTGTTCTTATATAGGGTTAGTAATACTATATCGTATTATAGTCATATATTATATAGTATTAGTATCTTGATGTTATATTTACATTTTACATAGTATGTTATATTCTTCTCAAGACAAGACCTGCACAACAGTCGCAACAGGGGTTTCAGCAGTAAGCAGTCGAGGGCTGCAACACTCGGGGTGGAACTGACGAGGGGCAGGGCATGCAGATTCGGGATGCGGTGAGGTCATAAGGGCACAACAGTGATGATATCTCTGAGCCTTGTGTGAGAAGGCCCGCCTTCATGGCATTCACAATGTTTCTTAGCGTGTTGATCCGCTCCTGCAGCGACCTGGCCCACACCATCCGGCCACGGCTCAAGACGCTTCACTCAAAGCGCGGCAGCCGCACGCGTACGCGGCGCACATGTCCTCTTCTTCCGGCGGATTTTCTGGCACGACGGCATCTGCCAAAGCGACACCTGGTTTAGGGCTTGGGGTCCTCATGCAACCCGCACCGTGCGGCAAGCCACACTTATTGAGCAGAGCTGATCGGATGCCTGGAGCTCGGCACTGGACATGCGACTCGGAGATGTAGCCTTGGCTGCACTTCGTGGTTCTTCTAACCTAGATTCCCATTGAGGTTCCTGTAGCCGTGAAGGAAACTAAAGTCTCGAAATGCGCCTTCAAGAAGTCACCAGTGTGACCATCAGCAGATCTTCTTGACTCGTGTCAGACCCCATGCCGACAAATCTATTCAAACTGCTCCTGCCAAACCAGCCAAGACCTATGTTCCAACTCAGAGCCCACCGTGCGTTGTATCGCAAACTTCCTCAACAAGACTGCACGATGTCCTAGGACTGTAGATCAGCGAGAAAACCCGGGCGAATTCCGTATCCCAATCTGCGAAGACGGCACATCAAACATAAATCGCAAAGGCCTCAACCCCAAAAGCCCAAGAACCTTGCAAGCTAAACCCTAAACCCTAAATCCCCAACCCGCCAGGGCCGTGGCTGGTCAGCGGGACACGCAAGGGGATTGCCATGGACGCAGACCTGCCACTGAGAATTGTCCATGCATGAACCTTGTCGTTCGTTCGGCTTCATGACTTCGTGGCTCGGGGTTAGGGTACAACAATAATAATCACAAAAATAGCAGTAATAATAACAACAATAATAAGTAATAGTAATAATGACAATTCAATAGTAATAATATGTGAGGCCTCAGGCGAGTAGGATGCAGGCTTCGTGACGGGCTTCCAAGGGGTGTAAACGGAACTTTGAACACCTGTTTGCAAGCTCAACAAAACACACGGTCCACGTTGGAGATCCCATGTTGCATTAAAGTCTTTTCTGTAGACTCTTCCCTGCCGCTATTTTCCTGCTTCCTTCGTTACAGTATCAGTCGAAAGTTTCCAATGCTAGTCCAGCGCCAGCCGCAGGAAAATCCCTTGAGTCAACTCTAAAGAGAGCAAAGTTGCCGGGAAACTGACGAATTGTGGGCTAAGTAAGGCACGCAGATTCGCGACGAAAGGCTAGCGCGACAGATGATAAAACCCAAAAAGGCTATATACAAATAGGATACATTGCGTTGTATTTAAAAAGCCTTGCAAAACATGGTCGATCGTTCTATGTAAACTATTTACTCTCCCTCTCTCGCTCTCTCTCTCTCTCTCTCGCTATAAACAAACGTGTATATGTACATGTGTATATTATATATATATATATATGTGTGTGTGTGTGTACATGTACCATACATTCAATATTCCTGGAGGCCGAGCCATTTTCTTTTCTCAGATCCTGCGGGGTCAGGCGGCTAGGTACATAGCGAGACCATGGTTCTAGCAAGTTCGATTCCGAGGGCAGCCAGGATCACAACCTTGCAGACGTCCCTGTTTAGGGTTTGGAGGTTCGGGGTTACTGACGTCCCTGTTTAAGTGCATCCAATTTCGAGGCTCGCCCAGCATTGCTTCAGGGCCCAAGAAAATGAAACTGTCGTGCATACTCATCGCTCGGCTATAAGATGAACAAGACTCTCATATGCTGCTACAGTAGATACCCTGGACATGGTGAAGCCCCCAAACAAGGTACATTCACGCTTATCTCAAGTCGGTGGTTGCGGGG